TCTCTTATACTTAACTTCTTGGCCCATAATCATCAAAACACTACTTACAAGGACTGACCTCTTCATTGACTGCAAAATGTAGTGTCACACTCTCTGCTTGGATGGATCATGAGATTAAAAACTTTTGCATACCTTTTTCATAAATAGTAATATAACATATAAATACATTTTATGAATCGGATATCGAATACAGTTGAAATCCATTGTTGGCAGTTTAGGTTTCCACTAGAAATGGTGTAAACTCTGATATTCACTTTGTTTCACAAAGGGGATGATCCTATCACTATGATCACCCACTCAAGTAATTTCGAAAACTATCCCAACATGCCCAGTTATTTGACCCATGATAAATCTCACTGGTTGGCATATCAAAGATAGTTCATTCCAAAACCTAGTGTTGTATCAAAATCTAGATTGGTGTTAAGTGCAACTTTCTAGTTTTTCCCATCAATGTCCAAGGTTCAAGGTATAACTAGAAATTAGCTTGGGTTCAGTGTTTCTCCAAAAAATCCATTACATGTACTTGGGGTCTAACCCTAACAGTTGAGACAAAGTACTCCACCAATTCGGCAGTACACTAGTGTTAGCCTCGTTAGGGTAAACTCTCTAAGTCTATCCAATAGATGAGAACATTCTAAACTAACACGAGTCTCATAAGTGTCTAGTTTAAAGAATAATTCATAAAAACATAGTAAATATAATCATGAAACAGTAATGTACTTATATTATTCATGAATGTTTGTTCACATCAGTTTAATTAGAGCTAAGGGCATACACTTTCTAACAATTTTCAAAGCTCAAGTTGTAGAGACCAATGTTTTGGTTAGTTATACCCTCCTAGTGTATTCATTTTGAGGTTTTTATTCATGCACGTAATAATTTATGGGTTTATGGAAAAAAGAAGGTTGAGTGTTAATAAGGCCATGCTCTACATGGATACATCTACAACAATTATAGTTGTTGCTATAGGAATAGTAGACTTAGTTTTTAGGGAATGTATTATTAGCATTAAAGATTGTCTTTTTGCTCCATATCTTAGGATAAATTTGATTTCAATTTTTATGTTACGTAAGGATGATTATTCCATTTTATTTATTAATATGATTATAATTAAGTTGAATAACAAGTTCCTTACCTATGGAGAACTTGAGAATACTCTTTATGTATTCCACCATTCTCTAGAAACAAATGTGACTAAGACAACTTCTGAACACATTTCTATGAAAAGAACATGAGAAATCATTAATTCCACTTTCCTATGGCATTCCCAACTTGGCGATATAAACATAAATCATATCACAAGATTGGTAAAAGTTGGTCATTTGGATGTTTTCACAGATCTACCATCTTATGAACCTTGCCTATATGCTTAAATGATCAAAAGTCTGAATCATTTGAAAAGTTCAAAGAGTTCATACATGAAATTGAAAAATAGTTAGGAAAACAAATCAAAGCACCTTGATCAGATCAAGGTGATAAATATCTCTTTAACGAATTAATGGACTACTTAAAGGAAAATGAGATTATATCATAACTATTCCATCATTCTATAACACAACTAAATGGTGTGTTAGAGAAAAGAAACCGGACTACATTACATATGATCTAATCACTCCTCGTCCACTTAAAGTTACCATATCTTTTTCAGGACACTCATTAAAGACTTCGATCTACATGTTGGGATGAATTTTAATCAAGTTGGTTCCCAAAACTCCATATAAGCTTTGGACTAACAAGAAATAAGTGTTAGACACTTTAGAGTATGGGGTTGTACAACACATGTAATAAAGATAAGTGTAGATAAATTAGAATCCAAAACCAATCATTTTCTATTCATAGGCTACCCTAAGGACTTTATTGGGTATTTGTTAGTCAAAATGCCTACTTCTTAGAAGATGATTACATCTTAAGTAATCATCATCAAGAAATTATGCTTGATAAGGAGAGTAGTGGGAGATATCCCACAAGTTCCAAATACCAACACCGAACATAGAAGATCTATTTGGGTGTTCAGACCTCCTATTCGTTTAGGTTATGATAAAAAAAGTTATTTGGTGGAACCATAGACAGTGAGGAAAACCCCCTAACTTATATAGAAGCTATGTTAGACATAGACTTCTTGAAATTGGTAAATGTCATGAATGCTGAGATAGACTCAATGAATGCCGATAGATTTTGAACTCTTGTAGACCAGCCTTTTGGGGTAAAAGCAACCAGTTGAAATTGGATCTTTAAGAGGAATAAGGGTCCTTATGAAAAAGTTGAGATCTACAATGATTGACTAGTGGAAAAAGGTTACACTTAGAATGAATAAATTATGAAGAGTCCTTCTTGCCCATGGCCATCCTAAAGTCTATTAGGATACTGTTGGCAATAGTTGCACACTATGATTATGAAATCTGGCAAATGGATGTTAAGACTATAATCTTGAATGTAGATCTTACTAAAGATATGTTTATGCAAGAGCTAGAAGGCTTTGTTTCTAAAAGTGATGACTACATAGTGTTTAGGAGTGGCCACAAGCCGAGCATTTCATGAGCTATTCGATCTCGAATTATGAAAATCTTGGCTTGGCTTGGTTTAAATTGAGATTCGAGCCAAGGTCGAGCCCAATGTACAAGCTCATTTTCTAATCAAGAAAAGCTTGAGCCTAATAAAGCTCAACCCGTGAGGATCACGAGCCTAATCGAGCTTTTACATATAAATGCACACACACACACACACACACATATATATATATATGTATATGTAAGAAATAATAAATATTAAAATATTACACATATAGAAAATAATATATATATATAAAATAAAAATGTTATATTTATAAAAGATTTATGTTTTTATATATAATAATAATTAATTATTATAATTCTTAATTTTTTATTTTTATAAAAGATTTTGCTCAGAGTCGAGCTCGAGCTTACGAGATATTGACTCGAGCCGAACTCGAGCTTGAGCTCATACTTTCTTGGTGAGCAGAGCTCCAATAGCTAGCTATTCAGCTCAACTCGGCTTGAATCCATCCTTAATGGTGTATAAGCTCAATAGATCCTTATATGGATTAAAGATAGCTTTAAGAAGTTAGAATATCTGATTTGACTTAAATGTTAAACAATTTAACTTCAAGTAGAGTCTAGATGAACTTGTGTTTACAAAAAGATAGTAGGAGACAAGATTGCATTCTTGGTACTATATGTAGATGACATTCTGCTCACTAGGAATGATGTAGGATTGTTATCAAAGTGAAGGTATGGTTCTTACAACAATTCTCCATGGAAGATCTTGGAGAAGCTTCATTCATGTTAGGATTTTGACTCTATAGAGATAAATCAAAGTGATTTATTGGATTGTCTTAGTCTACTTACGTTGACTAGATAGTCAAGAGATTCAACATGTAGGATTCCAAGAAAGGATTCGTTCCTTTCAGACATGAAGTCATTCTCATCAAATGAATGTCACCTAAGACCCTTGAGTCGATAAAAGACATGAGAAAGGTTCCCTATGCCTCTACCATAAGGAGTATCATGTATTCCATGTTGTGTACTCGACTTGACATTACTCAGGCTGTTAGTGTTGTAAGAAAATATCAATCCAACGTAGGACAAAAACATTGGTCAACTATGAAGAACATACTATAATACCTAGGAAGAACTAAAGACTATTGTCTCATCTTCAATGGTATTTCACTTTAAGTGATCAGTTGTATAGATGTTAATTTCCAGTTAGATCAAAATGAAAGGAAGTCTATATATGCATACATTTTTATGTTGGGATCCTGTGCTATTAGTTGGAGAAGTAGTAAATAAGGGTCTACAGTAGCCTCTACAACTGAAGCCAAGTACATTGCTACAAGTGAGACTGCCAAAGAAGCACTTTGGATGAAGAACTTTGTCTAAGAATTAGGAATTGTACTTTTTATCATGTTACTCATTTCACTATTGTGTGACAACATTGGAACCATTGCTCAAGCCAAGAGCCAAGAGCTCATTCGAAGTTAAGCACTTCGAGAGAAAATATCATATCTTATAGGAGATTATTGGTAGAGGGGCATCTAGATTTAGAAAGTAGCATCAATGACTAATATGGCAGACGCATTGACTAAGCCCCTAACACAGCAAGTGTTTGAGGACATGTGGACAATATGGGACTTAGGCTTGTGCCTGGTTGGACTTAAGTGCAGGCATAAATTGTTAGATTGGTATAAGGTCAGGCCAGGTTCAGGATACCTAAAGGCTAGGGCTGAGCCTAGCCCAAAAACTTAAAAAGCCCAAACTTTTAGGCTTAGGCCTAGCTAAGGGTGGCAACGTGCCGAGCTTTTCACGAGCTGCTTGAGCTCGAGCCCAATTAAGTGGCTCGATTATTAAACGAGCCAAGCTCGAGCCTACTAGAGCTCGACTCGTGAGGTTTGTGAGCTGGTTCGAAAATATATATATATATATAATTCTTAATTTTTTAAATATAAAATAAAAAAATAATTATATATAATTTTTATTTTATATTATTAAACGAGCCAAGCCGAGTCGAGCTCGAGCTTATGAACTCTTGACTCGAGCCAAGCTCGAGCTCAAGGTTCTAGCTCGAATCCACCCCTAGGCCTAGCCTAAGGAATAAAAATCCAAGCGTAGCCTGTGTAAAATTGTGGGCTGGGTCGGTCCAGGCTTCGATTGGGCTGGTCCAAACCCTTACCCTTTTCTGAATAGTTTTAAGCTAATATCTGCACTCCTTAGTGAGCAGTGCAATGAGTTCAGAACAACCCGGGTTAGGCTTTGTATGGAAGGTTGTTTGCATTGAAGTTGAAATTGAAAGGAGAGAAGGCGAGAGAAGGAAAGGGAATTACAAAAGCCAAAATAATTCCCCGTTTCTGAAAGTGTCGGTGCTCATTGAGGTCATCCCAAATACCCATACATGTGACAGTACACAAACATGCCTTAGAACTTGGTTAGCAATAGTAATTGAGTTGGGAGTGATTCATGTGAAAGTGAACTGCTAAATTACAATCTCTAGTTTAGGTTTTGATCGATCTGGTTAACAGGTGGTGGGTGTGAAATGTAAATCCACCACAGCATGTTGGAGAGCGAGTTGGATTCATGGAATTCTTTCAAGCTTCTAATCTTCTTCGGAGCACTTTCTTTGTCGTACATCCCTTCCATGGCATACAGAAAACCCTTCCGTCTGTCGGAGACATCCTCCCTCTCGGTGGCGGGCAAGGCCCATTTCACCATCTCTTTCACAAACCTTACATCGCCAAACAAAATCTCGGTGATCGGTGTTATTGGTCGCACTTGAATTGCCACACGATATTCCTTCCACCTGCTGGGACCCTGCCAAAGACCAGTGTCTCTCATGTTCGTCCACAGCACTCCCATTAACCTGTTTTCCCTACTAAACTCTTCTTCATACATTGCATTCCCCTCTCGGACATGCCACCATGTCTGCGCTGATCGAATCTCTAGTGATGCCAGCGTCGATGCAATGTCGACAAGATGACTGTCTTCATAGCTCATCCCCATTAGAGCTGCGGAATAGTAAGCATTTACCGCTTCGCTTGAGCTCTCCTGATGGCGCCCATCGTTATAAACGGCTACTTCTCCGGACCACGAGTGCAGAATCCACGGATCGAAACACCTCAGACGTGGATAGTTCGAATTCGGGCGGCGACCGAGGGTCAGAAAATCCCCCAGAATCGAATAAGCTTGAGATCTATACTTCCTTCCCCAGTCCTTGTCGTTCCTCACAAGGACGGCAATGGCATAAAGAAAGTAACCAAGATGGTGATGATGACCTCTGTAGTTATTAAACTCAGTACTACTCTCATCCTCAGATCCTTTACTGATGATTCCTCCCCATTTGGTGTCATACAAGAAAGAATTATTGGTGTATTTCCCGTCTAACCATTGTCCGATCCAAATCCTCAAGAAATTGCTGACAGCCGGAATCAACTCCTTCGAGCCGATCTCTTCGGCGATCACGGCGAGTCTGGCTGCCCTGGCTATAATCTTCCCATAGACATAAGGTGATACCGTAGTTATCGGGGTCAGACCCCCAACATCGTTGCGAAGAGCTGAGGCGATCTCTGGAAAAAACTTTTCTTCGATCCCACCAAAGGATTTCCACTGTGGCTTAATCGGGTCCGTTTTCAAGTGCCACCAGTTCCCCACAACGCCGACGAGATCACCATCTATGCTGTTATACTTGAATTCATCCAAGACAGCGACGTCTCCGTCATCCACATCCAGGAGCTTGCGATGGAGAGGGTGGGCAAGGAGGAGTAGCTCTCCGCGTCCCTTCTTCTCCCATTTGTACTCCAAGCAAAAGGGCTTTGTGAAAAAAGCACGCCCAGAAACTGCGTAGCAGTTGCTGAAGCGATCGAGGATTGTTACGTAATGTGGTTCGGAATTTGGCAAGACGGCAAACCGAAGCACACCGGAGAAGTTGTCGGCAGTGAGAACTGAATCTCTAAGGGTTAGGTTAAGCGGGGACGAGGAGTAGCAAATCCATGTATGGCTATCTTTGAGCCGGATGGTATGCTTTGTGGATGAGCCATTGGAGTGAGGGGGCTCGAAGCTGTGAAAGCTTTTGATGGAAAGAGTGACGGTGGCGGTGGTGATGCAGGTTACGAAAGGGCTGCCACGAGCGAGAAAGAAGCGTAGGGAAGGTGGGACGTCTAGCGTGACGCAGAGATCGCTGAATGATGAGATGAAGTGATTACTTTGGATATAGTTGTTGCCATGATTGTCCTGGTTATATAGCGATGCTTCGATGACTAAATCGTTTTTGAACTCTTGCACAATAGAAGCTGCTGAGACGTTGCGAGAAGGGTAACAGAGTTGAACGGAAGAAGAGGCGGAACGTATAATATAAGGGTGTATATACTCAGGTCGGTCTCCAAATCTGAGAACGAAGTTTAGGAAGAAAGGGCTGGTAGGGTAAGGGGGAGAGCGCAGATGCTCAGAGAAATAGCGAGACGGATCTGGAAGACCACGGGCCTGTTCCTCAGGAAATCGGAAGGAAGTGGTTGATGCTGTGTTGGCTGGTTGCATGATCAGAAGGACTCGATTAAAAACTCTGGGTTTTGGGATTTCATAAATATTTCTTTCATGGACTTGGGAGCAATGAGTTTGGACCTTGGACCAGTGACATTATCTGGGATCTTTGGCGTTGGGACTCTACAAAAATGCTTGCAAATTTGAGAAAATATGCAGAGAGATTTTGGAGAGAGAACTTTCGATCATCGAACGGCAAATTGATGGGTTGAGGCTTCGAACAGGGGATTCTTGAATTGCAGGAAGTAAATGATGCAGGAGGCTCTTGAACTTCAAATTGCTTTTGAAATTGTAATATTTGAGACTTGGATCCAATTAAGGAGTGTCAATTAAGCTACAGTTTTGTTTATTTTTTTTTTTTGTTTTTTCCTCCTTTTTCTGGTGAGAGACGAGAGGGAAAGACGGGTTGACCAAGGTTTTAAAGAAAGAGTTCGGTCAATTTGGGCAACCTTGTATGTAGTGGGATCGTCTATCCTCTCATTGTGCTTTCTCAAAAAAAAAAAAAAAAAAAATCCTCTCGTGCGCTCAATTAAATGATTCAAGGAAGACACCTGTCTATTTACAAAATCTCAATTAAATGGACTGCAACCTCTATTAACCCATATTAATTAGAACAAAATTATAAACAAAAATCCAACTACAAAAAGGAAATTAAGGCTTAATTAGAACAAAAGTACAAACAAAAATCCAACTACAAAAAGGAAATTAAGGCTATGTTTGGTTTGAAGGAAAAGGTAGGGACATGAAGGGAAAGGTAGGGAAGCTCATACAAAGTTTGTAAAGGTTTCTGATGCTATTTGATTCTAGGAAGTATAAGAACCAAGGTCACACTCAAATAATCCTTGCCAACTAGGTGGAGCCAAGGTGGAAGGACGAAGCCGCGTAATGAGATTTGAAACCAAAAAAAGGTTAAAGGTCCGAGGAGTTATCGCCGAGTAGATACTCCGACGCTCAAGTCAGTAGAAAGCAGTGGGTGGTCAGACCGAGCAGTTAGAGAGTGATGTTGCTCCGAGCAAAGTAACGGTATGGAGTCAAGAGTTGGATCCCTTACCTTGAGCGGAAGGTACTTTTTTATCCATATGACGTGGTGTCGACGTGGCTGGAAGGAGAAGGTAGGGCCACGGAGATGACGTGGCCGAGGAGATAAGTCGAGCCGTGGAGGTGACACAGCAATGATGTGATCGAAGAGATAAAGCAGCCATGTAGGCACCACGTGGCACCGGAGCCAGCTCAACCATAACTCGAACACCACTCCTCCAATTCCGAAGTCAAGGAGTGAAGTGCTCAGCCGAGGTGTAGCGATGAAGAGTACTTCAGTCCTCTGCTGAGGAACTTGAAATTGATTTTGGTTGAGTGCATCGCTAGGGTCAAATGGCTTGGGTTGAACCAGCTTTCTGGGCTGAACCAGCTGGGTTGATGATCGCACCATCTCCGAAATGGGTTATCAAAAACATCGTTTCGCTTCCCGAGGTTCTATGCGTGCGAAAGGCGGAGGCGCCGATTGGCCATCTCGGGATTGTCAAAGCAGTGCTTGATCTCTGCCGTTGGTCTTGCTTTGATCTAGATCGTTGGGGTCCTATAAATAGGTGAGAAGAGAATTTCTCCTTCGTCATTTTGCGAAAGAAGGGACTTGGAGCTCGACACGGAGTAGTCTCCGGTTGTTTGGTGATTGCTTCAGTTCCGCGGTCTTAATCCTCAGAGTTTGGTAAGATGTCTTCCTCGTCCATTGAGTTTTCCCATTTTTCTTCTTCTTCTTCGGCTTCCTCTACTTCCACTTCACTTTCTAGTTTTGAATCCGAGTCGGGGTCTTTCATCGAGGCCTTTACACTCGATGTTCTTGAGGCCGGTGGCCAAGGGCCGAGGCCGAGGACATTGGAGAGTTCCACTTTGAGTATTTTTTCGAAGCCGAGGAGGCAGAGGCGGGGTCGTCGACTAGGGTGGTCGATCTTCCTGTATGCGTGGGTCGTCAGTTTGGGACCATACCGTGTGTCTAATGCCTAGAGACGTGGCCTAGATCCGGGGTTTGTACTGCATTCTTGGTGAGTTTGAAACTAGATGTCCCATATCTAGGGAGGGGTCCATAGATGCTCGGCCGAGGGAGCTTTGTGTGGCTAATGCCCAACTCATTCAATTTTTTGATCGGTCTCATGTCGTATTGTTTCATCCACAATATCGAGCTCACCCTGGGGATGATCACCTATTTTCTTTAACTGAAGCTCACCCTGGGGATGATCACCTATTTTCTTTAACTGAAGCTCACCCTGGTCGGGACCTCGTCTCTGGTGAAGCACTGGAAAGAGAGATTCTTCTTCGTGCATTACCCTGAAGACCCACCTCTACTGGCCAAGATCCAAAGCCAAGGACCAAGGTGAAGTAGCCTGAGCTGGAGCAGATCACCGAGGAAGAAAGGGCAGCCATAGGGATGATTGAGGAGGTCAATATGATGGCTTACATGTCCTTCTCGAAATTGATCGGTGCCAGGTTAATGAGCAGGGAGGCCGGTTTATTTGTTGTGTCGATTTTCTACTATCTTCTTTTCTGAGTTGTATGACTTGTACTAATTCATCGTTTGTCTTGCATAGGTGTTGAGATGGTCAGTTGTAAAGAGATCAATCATCGCATGAAGGCCACAACTGACAGAGTGCTGTCCCAAGGAGCTCAAGGGTACCATCCCTATTCTGTGGGGGTGTAGTCGATGTCTGTAGAGCGCACTCCTCGACCGTAGAAGAAAGCGAGGTCACCCGTCGAAGAAGTCCTGGTGGTCGATCCTGAAGAGGGTATTGCTACTGTTCGTTCTCCCCCTCCACGAGATAATGTGCCAAAGGGCAATGACTCTGCGGTCTATATGCCGCGGTGGAACATTTGAGCCAGGGATGGGCTAAGGATGGAGGGTGTGTCTGAGTAGCTCCTTTGTGGTCTGCTAACGCTGGCCATGCGGCATGAACTTCTCGGTACCACAAGCGGTGCCCTAGAGAGAGCATTCGTGTTTCAAGTAGCTGCGGTGAGTAATTTTACTTGTGTCAATTACTTGCTTTGGTCGGTTACTCTTACTGATACTTGCTTTCTCCTGTAGAATGCTTGTACGACGATTTCCATGGTTGATCATCTTCAGTCGGTGAGGTGTCTCTATGAGGCTGGGCAAGTCGAGGTGGAGCGGTCAAAGGCTCGAGTGGCTGAGCTCGAAGTTGCGAATGACCGACTGGCTATGTTGGGGGTTGAGGTGGTTGAGTTGAGGTGCGGTATCGAGGAGCGGTCTGATACGGTCCGCAAGTTGAAGGATTGTGTCACTAGCCTGAAGGTCGAGTGGGAGGCGTTGAGGAAAGAGGTTAACGAGTGAGTGTCCTGGGCTGAGGAGGAGGTGGTTGCTCGATTCAAGGCCTCCTAGGAGTATCAGCACGAGATGGATGATTTCGCTTCGACCTCCTAGGAGACTGGGTTCTATCTTTGCCGAGATAGAGTCTACATGATCCCGAGACACCTACCAAAGGTGACACCATGGCCACTGAAGTGCCCGAGGAGGCTAGGGAGACCAAGGAGCACCTCGTTGTGGGCTGAGTCACTATTGCTGTTGACCTGAACTTTTTCTGCTCTGTTGAAGTTGTCTTTTTTTGTTGATGCTAACGGCTTGGCATGCCGAGCTGAGAACCTTGTACAAACTTTATTTTTTGAATTAATGGAAAAGTATGCTTTTTATTTTCGAACTTGTGTGCTTTTTCTCTCTCTTTTTTTTTTTTTAAGTTGTAGGCCTCGGTCTTACCATGGCCTCGGTCGGGAGTGGCCGAGATTTTAAGTCTTCGGTTTTTGGCCGAAGTGTTATCCGAGCTCTTGTCTCTTGGAGGGATGCTCAGTTGCAAGTCTCTAGAGCTTTTGGCTCTTTGTGGTCTAGTCGTTCCTCAACTAGCTCTGATCTGACGCTTCATCAGTGGAGTGTGTGGAGTTCGGTGACCGTTCTCTAGCCTTGGGAGGCAGGAGCATTCTTCTCCGCTTTGGGATCTAGCCATTAATCAACCGAGTCAAGTGGGATGGTTGACTATGCGCTGCCAAGCTAGCCAGTGGCTATGCGTTGCGGGCTCTGGCCGTTATAGGTCAGCCGAGTTAATGCGCGTAAATTCTAGTCATTTAGATTCCGATTGAATGTCGTACATTGCACAGTATGCTGTGTAGTGTGTGCCGCACAATGTGCATGTGGTGTGTGGTGTTCGTCATGCAGTGTGTGTGTGGTGTTTATTAAACAACCACTTTGTAGGACAAACAAACTCTTTATTAATGTAGAATCATTGGTAGTACATCCAGAGGTTCCTGGTATTCTAGCTCCTCTGTATGGGCCTATTGTCAAGGTCTTCTAGCTTATAGGTGCCGGGTTCGATCACTCTGGTAACTTTGTAGAGTCCTTCCCAGTTTGGTCCAAGCTTTCCTTCTCCTGGCGTAGGAATTATTACCTTCCGAAGAACGAGGCTGCCGGTTTTGAGCTCTCTTCTTCAGACTTTGGAGTCGTAGTACTTCGCCATTCTTTACTATTGTGTGACCATCTTGAGGTGTGGTCGGTCACGTGTTTCTTCCACCAAGTCGAGCTCTACGTGGAAGTCTTCATTGTTCTGGTCCCTGTTGTAGAACTCGGTCCGGAGAGTTGACGAGCTGATTTCCATAGGTATCATGGCTTCGACCCCATAGGTTAGGTTGAAGGTTGTCTCTCCGGTGGTCATCCACGGTGTAGTCCTGTATGCCCAAAGAATGCTCGACAACTACTTGACTCACCTTCCCTTAACCTGATCAAGTCTGATTTTCAAGCCATGCAATAGGGTTCAGTTGGTTATTTCAGTCTGCTCATTACTTTGAGGTCGGTGTATGACTGTAATCTGGTGGTCAATCTTCAGGTCAGTGTAGAGCGTTTTGAACTTCTGATCAGTGAGCTGCATGTCGTTGTTGGTGATGAGAACCCAAGGGATGCCGAAGCGGTAGACAACACTTTTCCAGAAGATGTTCTGGGCATTGTGTGT